TCTCGACCTCTCTACAGTGTACAGTACTGTATATCTCTGTACAGTACCTTTGTCCGTTGCGTACTGTACACTGTACAGTACTGTACGCAACGTTATGTTGGTGGTAGTCGGTATACCGAAAGTTACCAAACCAGTCTTGCAGTCTATAGTCAGTCATTGGGCTGCAGGCTACAGGCTACAGCAGTCTTTCTTCCCCGGAAGATACAATGCCATAGTCAAGGTGCAGTCCTACAGTACAGCACTAAAAGTACCTTTCGTACGGTAGACCAGGGTACTATACACTGTAAAGGAAGGGGCTCGGAGTACCAATACTAGTCTTAGAAATGCACTCATGGACTACTAAAAGAAGACCGCTCTTCTTTTAGTATGGACAGTGCTCTACAGTACAGTACTGTCCACATCTCGACCTCTCTACAGTGTACAGTACTGTATATCTCTTTACAGTACCTTTGTCCGTTGCGTACTGTACACTGTACAATACGCAACGTTATGTTGGTGGTAGTCGGTATACCGAAAGCTACCAAACCAGTCTTGCAGTCTATAGTCAGTCATTGGGCTGCAGGCAACAGGCTACAGCAGTCTTTCTTCCGGGGAAGATACAATGCCATAGTCAAGGTGCAGTCCTACAGTACAGTACTAAAAGTACCTTTCGTACGGTAGACCAGGGTACTATACACTGTAAAGGAAGGGGCTCGGAGTACCAATACTAGTCTTAGAAATGCACTCATGGACTACTAAAAGAAGACCGCTCTTCTTTTAGTATGGACAGTGCTCTACAGTACAGTACAGTCCACATCTCGACCTCTCTACAGTGTACAGTACTGTATATCTCTTTACAGTACCTTTGTCCGTTGCGTACTGTACACTGTACAATACGCAACGTTATGTTGGTGGTAGTCGGTATACCGAAAGCTACCAAACCAGTCTTGCAGTCTATAGTCAGTCATTGGGCTGCAGGCAACAGGCTACAGCAGTCTTTCTTCCGGGGAAGATACAATGCCATAGTCAAGGTGCAGTCCTACAGTACAGTACTAAAAGTACCTTTCGTACGGTAGACCAGGGTACTATACACTGTAAAGGAAGGGGCTCGGAGTACCAATACTAGTCTTAGAAATGCACTCATGGACTACTAAAAGAAGACCGCTCTTCTTTTAGTATGGACAGTGCTCTACAGTACAGTACTGTCCACATCTCGACCTCTCTACAGTACAGTGTACAGTACTGTACAGTATATCTCTTTACAGTACCTTTGTCCGTTGCGTACTGTACACTGTACAGTACGCAACGTTATGTTGGTGGTAGTCGGTATACCGAAAGCTACCAAACTAGTCTTGCAGTCTATAGTCAGTCATTGGGCTGCAGGCTACAGGCTACAGGCTACAGCAGTCTTTCTTCCCCGGAAGATACAATGCCATAGTCAAGGTGCAGTCCTGGACTACAGTACTAAAAGTACCTTTCGTACGGTAGACCAGGGTACTATACACTGTAAAGGAAGGGGCTCGGAGTACCAATACTAGTCTTAGAAATGCAGTCATGGACTACTAAAAGAAGAGCAGTCAAGAAGTATGGACAGTGCTCTACAATACAGTACTGTCTATATCCCGACCTCTCTACAGTGTACAGTATATCTCTCTTACAGTATCTTTGTCCATTGCGTACTGTACACTGTACTGTACTGTACAGTACAAGGTGTACAGTAGAACTTCTTTCTAGATAAATCAGTGAATATTTTTATGATTGATTTTCGAATAAAACCCATAAAACTGTATATCTGCTTACACACTAAATATGATAGTACCAAAAATGTGCTAACTACCCACACTAATTGCCGTGCCCAGTGTAGTATACAGTACAGTAGGTTTAATTCATTTTAGCAAGGATTGACATCGCGTACGTCATTCATCATGGGCTACGCTAGTCCATCTTCCAGTACCCTTGTCTATTGTGTACTGTACTGTATGTTATGTTGGTGGTAATCGGTACAGTAGGTTTGATTTTAGCAAGGATTGACATTGCGTAAGTCATTCGTCATAGGCTACGCCAGTCCATCTTCCAGTACCCTTGTCTGTTGTGTGCTGTACTATATGTTTATGTTGGTG